CCACCACCCGTTTGACTGCTCGGCTACTGAGAACTTGAGAGCTTGAGGTTCGGGGGTGGGACTTATTGTCGCTTTCTTTCACTCGGAGAAACAACTTAGATCTCACTACCGATCCTCCCTCCCACGAGACTAACCACTAGCTTCGCTGCAGTACAACGCAGGCCATGCAGCTAGGTGATATTCGTCTCTCACACAGCGAGGGAGAGAGCTTCGCGCTGGTGTCTTGCAGCTCGGCGAACACACCGAGAAAACTAGGGTCAAGCTCGAATCCGAATACAAAATGTCCAAGAGGAGCACGACCTTAGAGCAGCTTGCTCTCGAAGCAGGCCAGCGACCATTAGTCGATAGCAGCAACAGTAACGACGACAACGATCGGACGGAATCACAGAAGTCTTCCAGCAAGATGACACGGACTTCGATGGCCAACGTTGTGCTTCTGGCGTGCCTTTCCTGGGTTGTCAGTGCGATTTCAACGCCCAAGCTCGTCGCGTATGAGGAGAATGGCAAAAAGTACGAGTGCAGGTGTTCTCCTGCCGACAGCTGCTGGCCCAAGGCCGATGCTTGGAGTAAACTGAATCAAACCGTGGGAGGAGCTCTCCTTCAACACATTCCACCTGCTGCAGTCTGCTACAACACGTATCGTGGTATCGCGACTTACGATGCTGCCAAGTGCGCCGAGGCCACTGCAAAGTGGACGGATGAGAGATGGCAGTAAGGCTCAACTCTGGCACGGGGTTGTCGAGAATCAAGTCCAGAGCTAACAGTGAACTATCAGAATCTCTCAGCCTGCGTCGCAGCTGTGGACGTGGGGAAGCAACAACACTTGCGAACTTACTACAGACCCCACAAAGACTTGTGCTCTTGGCAACTACCCAGAGTTCGTTATCATCGCCAAGACGAAAGCTCAGGTCAAGGCCGGCGTGGACTTTGCAAAGTCGAACAACTTGCGGCTCGTCATTCGCAACACGGGCCACGATTTTGAGGGAAGAAGTGCAGGTGCTGGATCCTTGGCTATCAACACTCACAACTTCAAGGACATCTCCTTTGTTGATTCATACAAAGGTCCGGGAGACTACAAGGGGCCTGCCATGACTATCGGTGCCGGAGTTCAAGGTTACGAAATCTCGAGCGCAGCTCATGCCAGAAACCCACCGCAGAATGTGGTCACCGGCGAATGCGAGGTAAGTTTATATTGGCCCATCTTCCTTATTGAACTAACAACTTTCAAGACTGTGGGAGTTGCGGGTGGTTTCATGGGAGGTGGTGGTCACGGCCCCTTGAGCGGCAACTATGGCTTCGGCGCCGACCAGGCGCTCTCTTTTGAAGTTCTCACCGCAGCCGGAGACTTTGTCACCGCCAACGCCAACTCGAACTCTGATCTATACTATGCTCTGAGGGGAGGCGGCCCAGGCAACTACGCGGTTGTCTTATCTGTCACTCTCAAGACATACCCCGACACCATTCCTGGAGCAGCACTCTTCTTGAACGTCAACGCCACCACAGGTGCGAACTTCGAACAAGTCACAAAAGCAGTCAACAAGCTCAATGCGCTCGGAAACCAAATGGTTGACAACGGACTGTACGGCATTTATGAGCTATACCCGCCAGCGATCGGACCAGCACTGCACGTGCAGCCAATCATGGGAATGAACAAGACCGCCAAGCAGCTCACAGCCGTCGTCCAGCCGCTCCTCACCTACCTCGATACCGAAAAGATCCCCTACGACTTTGGAGTCAAGGAGTATCCTAACTACTACACTCTCTTTCACGACATCTTCGAACCCGAGCGCGCGGCCCAGAATGGTTTGACGGGTGGCTGGGTCTTCACCCACGATGACATGGCGAGCAACCAGCCGGCCATCGCTGAGGCCATCCAGCTTGCGCTGGCACCGGCCCCGAACCAGTTTGGCATCGTCATCAGCCACTTCTTTGATCCAGGAAGCAATGAGAAGAAGTCTGAGAGCGCAACGCATCCTAAATGGAGAGGTGCCACCATGCGGACTATGGCTATCTTGCCGCAGGCCCTGGACGCGACGTGGGCGACGAAGCTGGCGCTCAATGATCTCATGGTCAACACCATCACTGAGAAGTTTAAGCAGGCTGGTCCCAATGGCCTTGCATACGTGAATGAGGTAAGCTCGTCGTCACCCTACCTTACACAACGCAATGGGTACTAATGGTCGTGATTAGAACTATGCCTTCATGAAGAACTGGCAAGACGCCTTTTGGGGTCCGATCTACCCTAAGTTGGCGTCAATCAAGAAGAAGTGGGATCCGAACGGCGTCTTCTTCTCTTGGTCTACACCGGGCAGTGAGGATTGGAGTGTTGTTGACTATGCCAACCGACTTTGCAAAGCGAAATGATTGAAGCGTTTTCGAAGAAGCGACTTGAACTTGGAGATACCACTTATGATGATATTGAATGAGGATACTAGACTCTTAGATCTCATGATAATACAAGTAATGAACGGAATCATATGTTGTGTGCGTTGACCTTGCTCTGTCCGACTGCATGCTAGACTCAATCGTTCCAGATGACAGCGCTGAGTCCATCCTCTTGATTCACAGTCCCTGGATTGCCAACCTTGAGAGTTGCAAGAAGCTTCCCAAGTCTACCCGAAGTGACGTTTCTTTCCACAACCGCGACGTTGGCACTTGTCTGTCCACCGATGGCAACCATTGTTCCGGCGTTATTGATTGAGAAGGTTCGAGGGAAGAACGAGTAAGCACTTGTTGTCTCAAGATATGTGACCAGACCTGTGGAGGGGTCGATCGAGTAAGCCGTGATGGAATCTTCCTGTGTCCCAAAAGATTGGTCATTCCTGTTCGAGGTGTACACAAAGTTGTCCTTGACGTGAACTTCGGCCGCCTTTGAACCAGCCGGGGCATCCTTTCCGGGAGGAAATGTAGACAAGGTCTGCTTCTTCGTAAGAATAAGGCAACCGGTTGCCGGGTAAGTTATCGACCAAGACGTCAGGGAGTTGGATAACTCATTGACGGTGAACAGAAAGGTCGTATTGCCCTTCATCCTGAACACTCCATGACGGGGTCCGTCTCCGGGACCAGTCGAGAACGACGTGCATTGAGTCAGAATGCCAGACGATCCAATACTGAAGACACGGATAAGATCGGCTCCCAGGTCCGCGGAAAGAAGGTATCTTCCGGTGGGATCTGTGAAGACAGAGTGAGGGTGAGGTTTGTCCTGTCGGGACGGCACTGGTCCTGGTTGAGACATCGTGAATGTCATTTTCTGCAAGGGCTGACCTGAGCCGCCCAACGGCAGTCCATAGGTGGAAATTGTCGATGCATCGCTACAACATCATTAGTGAAGGCTATGTCTCGTAAGAAATGATCTAGTCATCATACTATTGTGTTGTTGCGATGTAGCCATTGCCAGATCCATAGAGCGTACTATGAAGCTCGCCTCCGGCTGTTTGAGCTTGCGCCTTCGATGTCAAGCTTCCATCAGCTGCAACAGAGAAGCTTTTCAGAAGTGGCTGGCCCCATTGTACTTCATCCGGGATATAGACAATCTTCGACGCGGGGTCAAAGTCAAGCCATGCTGGCATGCGGTTCCCAGAGCTGACTGTACTCGCAATAGTGAGTTGATTTGTTGACGATAAGTTCAGTGTGTAGAGTTGCCCGCTATAGTGCGAGGCAATCAGGGTCGCCCCCAGAGCTCCTCGAAAGATTGTGAGGCAGACGAGGAGACCTGAGGTGTTTCTCATTGTGCTAGGTATCAAGCTTTGGTTTGGAGAACTCGCTCCTTGGCATTCACTTTGTGGTGGGCTCCGGTTCTTGACTGTTTTAGGTCCTCTGATCATCAACGAGCGCTACTTCCGGCTCAGTCCCGAAGGCCTCGCGAGCTCGCGTTCGAACATTTACCCGACACAAGCAGCCGCGACAATGCAACAGTGTGAAGCCCAAATGCTTTGGTACTTGTTCCATTCAGAGACAAACTCGACTAGCGCACCCTCCGAGATGCCTAATGAGGCAACGTCACGGAGCCCAGTACCGGGGTCGCAGGACAACGAGGTGAGTTGAACATAGCCAAAAAGCGGCTAATTGCAGATCACATTTCTTTTTCGCTATGTTCAAAACACAATAGCAAAATTGCACAAAGGCTTGTAGAACAGTTTGATGACGACCTTCATCGCGTCCGAGTCTCAGATAACGTTTGACTTCTGCAAATATGAAGTAGTTGTCTAGATTGACCCGGGCCATCTATTCCAGGCTGGATCAACTTCATTTACAAAGTAGCCTACCTTGAATAGGGAGAGTGATCAAGACACATCAGAATTCCAAGTTCCGGGAGCCGTAATCTCCCCATATCAAGCTGCCTCGTAAGCTGATGTGTCGGAGATACCGGACGAATGTCTTTTTAGACGTCCGTATAGCCTGGTGTTGTTTATTGATTGCTAGAACGGAAAGTTGCCTTCTTCAATTTCATCCTGCTTCTCAATGGCATTACCATTTGAGCGTGACACTAAGTTTCCCTTAAGACCTCCTTAAAAACTACCTCCTTCATACACGGGATCACCAGCTGCTTTTCCTGACCACAGGCTGTCACTTCTAATCCTGGCGTGAACTTACGTAAGGCGAGGAAGTCTTGCAGCTTGCCAGCGCCCCGCAGAAACTGGGAGGATTGCCGCATAGAATTGGTCAAGTCTACACCTCTTGAATTCGAGGTGATTTGATGAGATCATGAGCCATGAGTGCCGACGAATTCCGCGAGAGTGTCGAAGGCCGGGAGGCGCCAGTTAATAGCCATGGTTCACTACTGCGAATAGCATTCGTTTATTTGGATGAAGCATTGTGGGATGGCAAAGGCGTGTCCAATGTTGTAGAGCAACTTCACACACGCGGTTGGTCGTTCGGCCAGGGAGAATTAGATTCAACCGGTAAGGTTACTGATTACAAGAGAGTATGTGGTTGAGAGGTATGAGCTAACGATAGGGAGAACTCTGGACATATTCTATCTCGCTCAACTAGCAGCCGCCATGTACCGCTCCTCAGACCAGGGAGAAGGCGATTTCGCGTCGGCAGATGACTTTGACAGATTCTACGCAGAACACCATGAGCTACTCGACGAGAATGCCTGGCGAAAGTACTACTCATCTGCCCTTCTCGCACAGCTAACCTCAGCTCGCTTCTACCGCCTTCCCGACTTGCAAGATCTGCCTGACGCAAGTGATCCGCTCGCGCAGCCACGACAGAAGGGCAATTGCCACCTAACCAAGCTTCCACGCTGGGCACATAACGTCGCGCGCACTCATCGACGACAGCCATCACTTCCCGTCAATACCATCACCCAGATAGCCCTCACTACTCTTGAGCAGACAATCGCACGCTTGCGAGAGAACCATCCAAGCGTTCAGCCGTACTCGGAGACCCAAGCTCGCTTCTGGCTCAAGTACATGAACATAGGATGCCCCGGCAAGCCGTCGAGGGAGGTATGGAACCACAACGAATTTAGTATCTCCGTCGCGCAGGGACGTTTCGACATGTGCGCTTGGGAAGCATACTACTCGCGCGAGCGGTGGGAGACTGTCAACATGCCGTTTCTTGAACCGGACCTTGATGGTACGCGCGAAAGCGAGGTCAGCTGGTGTGGGTGGCCGGACGGCGGGGTGGGTGAACAGGCGCGCAGCAGAGGGTGGGAGCCGGAGGTGGGGAGCGAGGAAGAGGTTGCATTCCTAGCGGCCATTGCGGTGAAGGAGATAGAAGGCGTCGGTATAAAAAACTTGGACTATGGAATACGGTCACACATCCTTCTTGGAGTGATGTGTTCTGCTTTTGATGTCGGCAATGGACAACAGGTGGAAAAGGTTGAGCGTCGGCTAGTTGCTGCGGGTAGGATTGATGACAGCAGGGCCGAGCAGTGGATTAGAGAGGCACTGATGGTCATGGAGTCATACTTGCGCAAGAAGGATGAATGGTCTGACTTTGAAGAGAATAGGGGTGAATTGCTACGTCAGATTCTGGTGGAGAATGGACAGCTGCTTGCAAGATGGAAGCTTTCGGACTCTTCCAAAGAGTTTCATTTTGAACTGCAACCAAGGAAGCAGAGCCAAGGTACTGTCTCCGAGTTATACTTCAAGTCTTGACGCTTCAAAGCATTGAATCGACCAACTTCTTAGCCACATTGTGGTGGAACGTATCGAAGTGTGGGGCCAGCTGCAAGCAACACAGGGATAGGTGGAAATCAAGATGCCCAAGATATGAATATCTGGTTAATTATCACACCGCGCTTCAGAAGCTTGGAAGATGTGTTCTGCGGAGATAGGTCCGGCTTACAGACGGCCCTTGATCAACTGCTGCTGATATTGGGGGGCCGTCCAACGACCTCGTACACCATCGACTGGCTCGAGAACCTACAGGACTTCAACAATATTCTAGCTCTCCATCAGACGATCACATAAAAGTCAGCCATAGGGCTCAGATTACAGAGAATAATAGCTTGCGTGCACCATTGACGCCTATGAAATAGCAACTGGCAAGACAAGTTCGCGGACGAACAGATGGAATCATTCATAAACACCTGGCTCCCGCAAGCCCTTAAAGACAAACTGGCATGCCCAGTTGAGGACCATAGTCTGTCGTCGTTGAGGTTCCAGCAGGCTCTTCGTAGTACTCACACCGCAGAAAGACGTCCAGGCAATATATTAGGAGCGGGACTTTGGAGAGGCTGCAAGACATCAAGCCTGCGGTCAACCCAGGTGAGATTTATGATTTTTCACTTCCCCCGGAGCCTAAGGTCGGCCTCATACTTTGAGTTTGGTTGAATTGTGTGTAATGAGTCCTGTATTGCTAGTGTAGTAGTTCGTCCGGTTTTTTCTTGTAGGCATCTATTTCTACTCTCAGCGCTCCTAAAAAAGAAGACTCTGAGACGGCCACTATCAATACCAGACTGGCGTAGCAGGCCGTGTGGCTCGGCTCTTAATAGGCTTGCCATTAAGGTTACTTGCGACCCCTCTCGTTGCAAGGGAGGGGCATGTATCTGGTAGATCCCGCCCAATATGATATCGCTCCTCTGGGCAAGCAGCGGCTATTGATCCTTATTCGCATAATTATCCGCGTCTCAAGATCAAATTCAGCGTGGATGCTACCCACGTGTCAATTTGGCGCTCGCGAGGGGCACTGCACCCCGCGGGACGTTGACGTTTTGGAGGGGACCCCTGTCAATCTTGTATTCAACTGCCTGATTGGGCTGTGCTATGTAGCTTCGGCCGTCTTTCTCGCGATGGACAAGGAAACATCAGTAAGATATATAAGAGGCGCGTCGTTGGTGTTGTCATTCGAGATTTTTGGTGAGCACCGAGTCTTTATGCTTTAGCCCCAGTCATTCGTTTCTTGCTTCAAGATGCAGATCAAGACCCTTCTCGCACCCATTCTCCTGGCCAGAGTAGCTCTGGCTCAGGGTCTCCCCATCCGTGTTGCCTCGTTCAACATCCGATACGACGCCGGCTCCCGCGAATCCGGCGAAAAGCCGTGGTGGGACCTCCTCTGCGGAATCTCCAAGGACCGCTGCCGTCAGCCCCATGTCATCGACGCAATCAAGAGCATAGGCAACAATGCACCCTCGGGCGCCGTCACCGTTATCGGCCTTCAAGAAGTTCTCGATAACCAGCTCAACGACATCCAGGACGGACTCGGCTCCGGCTGGGCCCACGTCGGTGTCGCCCGCGACGACGGCAAGAAGAGCGGCGAGTATAACCCCATCTTCTACCGCACCGACGCTCTCAAGCTGCTCCACGAGGAGACGAAGTGGCTCTCACCGACACCCGATACCGTCTCATCTGGCTGGGGAGCCGGCAGTAAGCGTATCGTTACCATTGCTGTCTTCGAGCATACCGCCAGTGGAAAGAAGTTCATCCACGCCAACACGCACTTGGATAACGTCAGCTCCCAAGCTCGAAGCGAGGGAATCAAGGTCGCTGTGTCCAAGATTCAAGCTGTGCAGACAACATATGGTCCTCTAGGCGTCTCACTCACCGGCGACTTCAACTCTGACCCCAACGGTGATGGGTACAAGGCATTGACAGGAACGGGTTTCATGGAGGAGTTGTATAACATGGCTACACCCGAACAGCGCATCGGCCCCAATCAGTTGACCTACACCACCTTCGATACGACCAAGCAGGGAAGCCGCATCGACTTTATCTGGCTTGGGCCTAAAGATGCAAAGAAGTACTCGGTCCAGCGATACGAGATCCAGAACAACCTTGTCAATGGGATGCTCATTAGCGACCACAGACCTGTAGTTGGAGATGTCACTTTGTTGTCATAGCCTCCCAGATGATACTTAGATTTGCGCAGTAATTGAGTCTCGATACCCATATCCTGACGAAGGCATTCCCATTTGATAAGTTGATTGGCAAGCGTGACTCGATCGGATGGAGTGAGAGCTTGTTGCAGAAATCTTCATATAGTGACTCCAGTCTGCGACTTTTAAATAACCTGATGAGGAGAACCGTCGTATGAAGGGTTCAGTCTAAAAACAACACCACGTTGCCAATTGCTCGATATTTCGTATCTAGCTTTCGCTAAACCATCTGTGCCGCGAAATAAGATCATGTCAGTGCAGAGTACGTCATAGTGCCTTGAGCGATGGCTCAGTCGAGAACTAGCTTCAAACAACAACACTTGGGCTCATAAGGTCTCACTTCCCCGCTCGAGGCGTTTATGATCCTTTTCATTCTCGAACGGAATACTTCTGGAATTCAATACCTCAATTGGACCTTGTTGATTTGGAGGCAAGCCAGCTTTTAACGGCTTTTACGTTTGCAGAACAGTGCCGAAATGGCTGTGCATGACTTCAGTAAGGAACAGAAAGACGTTTTCGATGACCAGCATCGTGAGCTCAAAGTTGGTCAAGTCCTCCTCCACTTCTGGCGTATACCTACTGCTCTAGGCAGCTGACAGAACACATGGTCGTCTAGGACATTTTGCGAAACAAGGCAGGCGCCGAGGCTGGAATTACCGTGAGGAATTTCGATGTGGCGATCTCTGAGTTTGCTTGGGAGCAGGTGCCATTAGCAGACACCCAGAAAGCTCTCGCTGAGGCAATTCATCTAGCCAACGACAGCAAGTTCAGTAACATCTATCAAGAGTTTCTCAACGCCCCTCTTGGATCTGAAAAGGAGGAAGCTAGGGCTAGAGATGTGCTCTGTAGGGCTCATGGCATTTCTACAACATCTTACAGACCGAGGAAAGACTGGGAGCTAGTCAGAGCAGCGCCATTCATTGCGTTACAAGCAGATGTGAGTATTCTAAAATTCTCAGTATTTAATATTGATGTATCACTTTGATAAAGGAAGCTTAAGCTGATTCACGACTACCATAGTCTTATTGGAGAGATTCACCCGAAAAGGTGTTACTGCTCGCCTCCAGCCTGCAGGATAAGGGAGATAACTACGCCGAAAGTGGTCGCGCCAGAACTATGGACCTCGCAGCATCCGAAACCACAGGGAAATTGATAGAGCTTCTATCACAATACTACGAGTTATACGATCAGTCTGAGGCGGAGGTTCAAGCTAGAAGAGCTCAGGGGACGACTTATCCATGGAACTAGGTCGTTACCAAGAGTCTGGCACGCCTGGTCTCTCCACTTTGAGCTCCTAGTCGTTTATCAACTTCCCTGGGGCGGATCCTTTGTACACACTATGCATGTGACACCTCACTCAGTGGCTCTTCTATATCTTGCCAATCTTCTAGAGATTTAACAATCAAGCATTCTCAGATGTACAATTCACACAGCAAGCTGACCAGTAAATGTTAGTAACGTTTGGGTTGGAAAGACAGAAGCCTACTTTGCCTGGTTTCGAAAAGGAGAACTCGACATGGTCCCATCAACAAAGACCCTCAATAGTTGTCGGGCGCGGACGCAGAGGATAAGCGCATGAGACACCGCTATTTGGACCCTGTGACCAACTACGCGCCCACTAAAGCGCATAAAGCCTAACCGAGTTACCCGCATGCCAATGCCCGCTCAAAGCGCCGCCGTCTGAACCCAGTCACACGAGATGACTCAGCGGAAGATAACGGAATAGTTTTGTTATCGTCATTGATAACTATGCGTCCTGCTGCTGCTGCACGCGACACTCTCCCAGCTCGCCTCTCTTTGGGTTGATATTATTTTGGTATGTGTACTCTTCACTTCGATGTACACCGATGTATTTGCTGATCTGATTTTAACCTAGCGCCTCTCTTTCATTACCATGGCCGCCGTCAATGTGGGACAACCTGCGTCGCTATCGCAGGGCTCTGTCTCGCGGGATGACGCATCCGAGATACTCGGCAGTATCAGCATGGCTGCCTTTCTCTGCCTCTTGGTATCTCGCTGTTCACGATAGTCGTGAGATAATATAGTAACAGTTCCTAGATTCCCCAGCTTGCCGCGAATTATAAGTTGAAGAGCGCAGACAGCTTATCTATGGCATTCCTGTTCATATGGCTTTTGGGAGATGTTACCAATTTGCTAGGTAAGACCATAAGCATGAGCCCAACCAACCTCATCTCGGGATATGTTCTTCCGGGCAGTCTGTCAGGTGCATGCGCAGATTACATATACTCATCTTCCACGATACAGGCGGTTTGGCGAACGGCATCGCGCCCGCAAGCATAGCTGTGACAACATATCTTTGCTTTTCGGACTCTACACTCATTTGCCAGTGCCTGTACTACAACTCCAAACGCCGGATTCAAAACCTCGTACAGCCCGGCACTCCAAGATCGCAATCTCCCGAGCGACGACCTCTGCTTGAACCCGCAGACTCTTCTGAAGATGTGAACTCAACAGGCCACTACCAAGTTGCCTCTCCCAGCTCGACTCAAGTTGTGGACAAGGATGAGGAAACCGACATTAGCACTTTACGCACTCTGCACGACTGGCGGTTTAATGCGGCATGCCTTGTCATGGTCGCTATCCTGGGGATCTCTGGATGGTTCGTGCTTCGCCAGCTTAGGTTGCTTGGCGGGGAGAATCCTCCCGGAGCCGTGAGCGTTACAGAATTGCCAGGTATTTCTGAATCGGTTGGTTCAGCATTGGGAGTCATCGGTGCGATCTGCTATTTGTGGTATGTGATGATCATGTTGCAAAATGCTGCACCGACTGACATGAGAGTGCAGTGCCCGGATTCCTCAAATTATTAAGAATTATAGGGGAAAGTCCTGTGAAGGTCAGTTGTTCTGCCTACGAAAGTGATTTTGATATGAGCTTAAACTTTTGCAGGTCTTGCGCCGCTTTTCCTTCTGCTGTCCATTACCGGAAACTTGACGTATGGGATGAGTGTCATTGCTTACAAGCAAGACAGAGAGTACTTGCTTACCAGCCTCCCGTGGCTAATGGGCTCGCTTGGAACGATCGTTGAGGACGGCATTATCCTATTTCAGGTCCGACTTTACGCGCGAGTCCAAGATCCGGTAGCGTCAAGCAGCTTATGATTCTACGCGACTTGAGATGAAACCCACATATCATGATTTTGTACGATCTTGGCGAGAAACCTAAAGACCTTGATTTCATGACTAGCCAAGCAACTCGGGTCTTACAATTTGACTCATTGCCGTTGTTTCTCGGTACGAGCTCTACGGAAAGAGCAACTTTCGGCCGAGTTGGGCTGTCTGTAGGAACAATGCAAATCATCCTAACAGCATGCGGCCAGTTTAAATAGTATTTAAGACAACGTTGTGTCCCTATGAGTTGATGAGCATCTCCTCACTGTAGTCTCATCAAATCTTCTCAACTCGTCTCTCGCTCCGGAAACTCACCAACCTGTCATCGTCCACCTTCGTTTTCAAAGCTCAATTTGAAGTCGAATCCGATAGCCGCCTAAGATGCGTGTCATCGCCCTTGCTGCTGTTGCGCTGGCCTTCGCCATGCCCATTTCTGTGCGTGGTTCCCGTTCAGGATTCTACCAGTGATGAGTTGTGAGTTTGCTTACTAACATGGAATAGGCTGGTGTCTGCGCGGCATTTGGTGTCTGCTCCCAGAACGGAATCATCAAAGACTGTACCTCCGGGAGTTGTATCGGCAAGGTCGGTCAATCCTGCACTCAATCTCTTGCAGGACCCGTTCTTTGCCCTGTTTAATGTCTCCGTGCAAGAGAAGAAATTATGGGATCTATGTCTGAGAAGCCCAAAGGGGCTGTGTAATTCTACTGCGGCATCAAGAGTAAGGAATGATCAGTAAAGACTGGAATCGCAATCCAGGCAAACATCCGGGATTTCAAGCATGTAGAACGATTAAAAATTTATGGTATCAATGACACTACTCGATTCCCTCAGCTTCGATTAAAATTACTCATCAAACCTCTCCCTATCATGCAAAGACGGTAAATGAAGTCAAGACTACAGCCCAAACTTTTCAAAATGAATCAGATGCCCTCTCCTCTTCCATACGAAGAGCGTGTACGCCAAACTTGCAGAGGTCACAGCCGCAACAGAAACCAGTGCTGGCCAGTTGAACTGCGAAGGCCGAAAGAAGATTATCGTCGCCATGTATGAAAGCAGCTCAAATGCATTTTGCCAGGCTGCCTCAACTGTCGAGAATCTGCCACGGCTCTCGGCTTCGACTTCCTGCATTCTCATGTTAGATACTTTCACGCCAAAGACTTTCCATCGGCCAGAATTTCCTCACCTCTTGGACGATGATTTGAGTACACAGGTCAAAGCCACGAAGACCAAGACGGCTAACGATGACTCCGATCACGAGGCTAGATGCCGAGATCAAGGGGTTCGGTATAAAGACCCAGAAAGCCACCAAACCACCTATCAGGGGAAGAACCTGACAATTACTCATCCAGAGACCAGCGCGTACTTGTCCGATCCGACCAACGAGCCAAGGCGCGACCCAAGTCGCCAGCACCTCGAAGACGACACTAATCGTTCTTGCGATGCCGATATATGTTGTGTTGAAGCCTGATGCGACCAAGTACGTGACCATCTGGCCCCCAAAGCTCAGTACCGTGAGATACAATAGAGAGCAGGCAAACGACGGCAAGAATGCGCGATGGCTAAAGTAGAATTTGAAGTCGGACGCGGACCTCCTAATATGGCCCAGGACTCTTTTGCCAGGATTCACCGATGCTGGTGTTATTTCGGCGGTAGACGTTGGCTTAGACTTGGGTTCCTGCAAATCAGTGTCCTCGTTATAGATCTTCGCAATGGCATAGTACTCGGCAGCAACAGAAGCGGTGTTCACGGAAAAGTTGACGATGATCGCTGCCTTTGTGGAGAATCCGTCAATAAGAGCGATGAAAAGTGGCCCAAGTAGCTTGCAGAGGAGATCGATCCGGCGCATCTGCGCATTGAGAACTGCTAGAGCTTCGATGTCACCCTTGGCGATGACGATTACCTAGGTACCGATTAGAGTCGTGGAGTTGCCTAGTAGGAATCAGGCCAAACTCACCCAGTCTTTCTCGACTGAAACCATATTCACAATGGAGTACAGCTTTTCGACACAAGCCATGAATGAGAGGAGCGCAAGCAGAGCCGGACGTCCATAATTACCCAGCGGTAGTCCGATGAAGATGACATAAAATAGGACGCATGATGCTGATACTGCGAGCCGTTGGAAGACTGGGCAGACATATGTCAACACTCGACAGTCCGATTAGTTGTCGATCTACATCCGTCGAGACTCACCAATCGATGAGCGGACCACTTTCAACCGGTCGTTGTTATCAATGTACTGTCCAACGGTGGGCGCGAAGATGAGCGCCGATAAACCTCTGGCAAGTGCATACAGCGACATAGGCAGCAGTGTGCCCGGAAAGATAGTCGCCAGATACAGCACGGCGCCGAATTCGAACATCCGAGAGTTCCAAGTCGAGAGGAAGTGCGAGAGGTAAAGCCGGCGCGCTATTCGGGGATCCACCCGGTGAGTTTCGGAGACCGAGCCATCTCCTTGGTCTGCTCCGTTGCCGAGAAGCGGCGTCTGCTCGCCGGGCCGGAAGGCCTCCTCATCGGGAAGAGCCTGGGTTTGCGTCATCGCTCACAGGTGAGTTGCCCAAAGTCTCAGATTCGAGGATCAGATAAGGATGGGAGGACTAAATAGTTGACTAGGTAGAAACCAGAGAAAGCTTGATAGCTCGAGGCCCAGGCAGGGCCGCATCAGATAATGTACAGATAGCCATATTGACCTTGGCGTAGCGTGACTTCAGATGAACAGTGAGCAGGAGCAATTATCTAATATCCACGGGAAGACTGGGGGAGGTGAGAACATTCCTGAAGCTCTACTCCGTACGTTGCGAGCAATTGGGTACGGAATCGTTGAGGTTCCGAACAGGGAGCTCTGGGCCCTAGTTGATTAGTCCGTGAGTGCGTGGGTCGAGGCAACGGAGGTAAATCAGGTTCCGTGTCCGTGCCTTGGAATGCTACACAGTTCTCTGCAACTGGACTCTGGTCTAGCAACTTGTCTCTCGACTCAGTAATGCTTTTAGTCAACGGGAGTTTCCAGTTCTAACCGGCGACTTATAACATGCAGATGCCTCTGATCCCTATTCTTTCTAGCAAATGATAACTTTCCCAGAGCTTTAATCGTGAAAACAAGGACACCATCCCATCCCGTCCCATCTCTTAAATCATGCCTCTCCTATTTCGGTCTAGTGCCCAACTTCTCTCTGCAGGATGGAAGAAAAACCTTATGTCATCGGAACCAAATTCCTAATTATCCCCGCTTAGTCAGGATATCAGATCTCTCATAAGCTGGGGCGCGGCCGCCGACGGAGCTGAGTTTGCTCCGTGTCTTCAATCGTCGCTGTCATGCATCAACAAGCCCCGGCAGCTTTAGCAGTAGTAGCAGCTCCCATGGGGTGCTGATCAGTGCCACAATGCCACCAAAGCGAGCATGCGATATCTGCTATCGTAGAAAGGTGCGGCTGTTAGAGTTGACTGTATTTTATTAGGAGAACAAATTCGGTTGCTAACCCTTGTGCTTTGTTACCTCAGATACAATGTCTTATCCCTGCAGAGGGCTCTCCGTGCGACTGGTGCAGCCATCATGATTCCGAATGCACCTTTCACCGCGACGCGCCACGAAGGAAGAAGAAAGCCAAGTCAGTAACTCTTATTCACTCTTCAGAGCAGAAAGTCCTCTGTAAAACTTCGTTGCTGAACAGTGACGGCTCTTTCCCTTAGGGTAACTTTGAGCGACGTCCAAGGCCTCAACAATCGCATACAGCAGCTCGAAGATGCGCTAGCCAAGGCGAATTCGCAGCACCCAACTCAGCTAGACACCCCTGATCAAGGTCAACCAACTCCAGCCATATCCGTATCTGAAGAGACCTCATACTCAGCGTCTGTCCAGAGTCCAATCCCAGCAACTACTCAGAACTCTGCTGCTTATTCCGAGCAATCTCTATCCCCACTGGTCTTTTCTCAAACCCCCGCCATTGTTGATGACACTCACGCAACACCATCGGTAGATGGGTCCCGACCCGGCAGCTATGTCGGTCCTAACTGGTTCTTCAGAGGCATTCACGCATTTTCGGAAGATGGTCGCCGATGGATCTCCTCCAAGACTGGTCAGACCATCGATTGGAGTAAACTTCAAATATTTACTGCAAAGCCATCACCTTTCGCAAGGAAACATGCGCAACTGTCGTCAGATCTTTGTCAACTGCCAGACCAGGCTTCTTTGAGAGAGCTTCTGTTTTCGTACTTCAAGTCATCTTTCCGCTTAAGGTTTCCACTCATTGACAAAGTTCTCTTCGAAGAGACAATTAACGAGGCTTATGGAGATCCCGAAAATATTTCACCTTCTCCAGTTCGCCTGGCTGCCCGGGCCTGCGTCTTCGGAGTCGTCAGTCTCATAACTTTCCTGCCGGACGCTCAGCCTGGCTCACTGAGGCTAGACGACATTGAGAGCGCAGCCAGAGCCAGCTATCTTCTCAGTCAACTTGGCGGATATGCAAGCCTTACAACGTTACAAACGACCCTGTTACTGGTGAGTTGATCCTAGACATTGGCTCGCAGTAGTTCATGCAATGATCGGCACGCTAAATCTAAAGTCAAGCATGTGCAACGTCTCCTATGCGGTTATTGGCAAGAAGCCGATTCGCTGCTACCAGCAGCTTGCCGTACAGTCGGTGCACTCGGTGGGCATCTTTATCAGCCCTCGAAAGCCCTTATGACAGAGGTCCCGCTATCCGAGAGAAGAGAACGCCATATTAGGAATCTCTTCTGGGTTTGCTACATGTCGGATAAAGACTTGTCCCTACGGACAGGACAGCCTCCACTTCTTGCTGACATCTACTGTGATCTCACAATTCCAGAGGCTTACCAGAACTCTTACATTCACTTACGTGGTCTTGATGAGCATCTCCACCCTCCAGATGCATCAAGCGATACGGATCTTACACCACACTTTTCTGGAGACGCTCAATTAGGGTATCTCAAAGAGAAAGTATATCGGCTGCTTTACTCAGTACAGGCACAGAGAGACAAGGACAATCGACTCTTGATTTCAATCCGGGAGCTAGATGACGAAATTGAATGCTGGCGTTTGTCGGTTCCGGTGGACTTCCGGCCAGCTCTCTCAGTCTCGTCAAATACTCTTCTAATCACGCCTGAAACAAAACCGCCTCATTTACGACGATATTTTCACCTGCTTCTAGAGTATTGGTACCTGATGATCTACGTTCATACTACAGTAAGACGATATGATGCACACACGATAATTGGCGACGGGGGTCAAGATCTCCACAGGGTTATTCACTCGAGCTATGACTTATCAATGGAAGCCGGCAGATCGACGCTTCGATGTTTGCGAGTGTGTATGAAAACCTTCTCTAATGAAGGCTTCTGGTCAGTCGTCACATTCCCTCCGGCTCCCTCTAGTAGCATTAAATCCATCCACGCATCCAGTATCATTTCGTGGGTGGATGTCTAGCAACTAACAAAGTCCCTAGGCTTCTGATGTTTTACGCCACCAATGCAGCGATTGCTCTGTTTCTTAACATGATCATACACCCAGAAGATGCGGACGGCCAGCTCGATCTCGAGCTTCTCATTTCTGCTGCCAACGCAATCCGTACAGCAATCCCACGGGCTTCAACGCGCGAAGAAAGTACACGCATTCAGAGAACGTCCGACTTCATCATGTGGCTCATGTGGCTTGGTTCATGTGCTATCACCAGATCACAGGAAGAGGGATTGCAACACGAGCTGTAAAAATCCAGGATAATCGTCCCGGTTTTTATGTGAGATGCGGTTGATAAGACGCCCAGCTCATAAGGAGCAGCTCCCGCTGACAAAGCGGTGAACACGTTGGTAAGGAGCGGGCTGGCGAGCCAAGAGGTTAGAGCTCCCCTGGCTCTCGTCTCAACAGGGGTGGCAATCCGAATAATTAAGCGTATTTATACTGCAGAACATACGTTCCCGAAAGCTTCGCTCTTACTGGCGGACGGGATTATGCTCAATGATACACTAGATCGAATACGTGCAGGAGTTAATTAAGTTTAGTCGCGATGCAATGTCATTCCACCCACTTCCCGGAACCCGAGTAATGCTGCCGGACTCTCGCTCCTAAGCAGTATCCATATGGTTACTGATCAATTTGGTAGCGAGGCTTCTGTTAGAAACCCAGGAACTGAACTGCCCTGTATGGGTCATAAGAATCGTAGTATACAAATAATTGCTTTTATTCAGGGCAGGTGGTGATCTTATGGCCTCGGCAGCCCGGCCCCACCGGGAGGGATGAGCCATGGACTGAGGGGTTCAGCAACTTAAGCTCGACCTTAATTGTGACTACTTGAGATTCGAATCCGCCAGTGCTCTTCTTTCTTCTTGATTCGATATCACATCATCAATCCAACCATTAATCTCGTTCTTCGGAGTTGCTAAGATGGTTCACTTCTCATCCATCGGCCTCCTGTTTGGCCTAGTTGCGAGTCAAATCAGCTCCACTCGGGCGCAGTCTCTCCCGAAGCAACTCGCCGTAGTTCGTCGCCGCTCTGGTCTCACGCACAAGGAGTATCTGTACTACCATACACTAGTTCACGGGCAGAAGTCATGGAATGCACCTCGAGACGATTCCTTCCCGGCTGCCTACATCCAAAGCCATGTCTTTGATGGAGTCTTCGGTGCCAACAACAGCGTAGCGAACCAAGTCTACGTCGGCCGCGACGACATCGCCGAGCTATATAGTAGCTCGCCGACGTCCTTTTTGGGTCCACCCTCCACGAACTACACCGAGACGGTGATCGGTCCGGATGGAGCCAACTTCAACGACTTTCCAGTTGCCATGTCCATGATCGCGACTGAGACTTTCCTGACCAACATCACTACGGGTACCCCGAAACCTCCAGCTAAACCCGGCAATGAGCCTCCGGTCGCCTTCTTCTGGGCCATGGCTACGAAGAATGCCACATCGAACGAGACGTTTGCGAGGAATCTGGCGGATGCGCTCATCAAGCCCTTGCCTGCCGGAACGATTTACAACGCCAGTATCCACGTCCCTATTCCAGGCGCCGACGTCAGGCCTTACTTTGGTGGAGCGGACATGCCGATCATCAATACTGTCATCAAATTGTGGCTCAATGACAGCGGGTCGGCCATCACACAACTTCGAGCTTCGCAGACAAAATTGGATAATGCGGCGCTCAACCTGGACGAGAATCTATCGTACATGCTCTTTTCTAGAGAGGTAACGATTTGGGATACCAAAGCCGGCATCGAGGTAAGTCGTGGTGGGCCATCAATAATCCGATACCCTTGGACCGTTGAGCTAACATTGGAACAGTTTGATATTCCGCGCCTGGAGGCCGTTTTGAAGGCCGAGAACTATTGATCAAGGAACTCGAAAGACAATAGAGTGGGACCTGAGCTGTTAGGCTTTCAGTTAAGCCTTGTATTAATACATGTAAATACTCAATAAAAAGGACTTCCACTCTGCCCAAACTTGACCTCCGGATAGGTGTGGTGAGCGGCCGCCGCGATGTCGCATTCTGAAGCGTTGCAAGGGACCCACGAAGGTTGAAACGCTTTCGA